AAATAAATAAATAAATAAATAAATAAATAAATAAATAAATAAATAAAATAAAACACTTGTGTATTGTCTGATGGAACTAACTCCATTGGGAGAGACATCTTGTCTTGCTTAGAGCTGGGATTCCAGTACCTACCACTAGTACTTGGCAGGCGATAGAAAACAATAATATTAAATCCAAACAACTCTTCCTCCCCAAACTGATTCTTGTCTAGAGTTGGTTCTTGGATAATGATAGCATGGTTATACAGCTTTTATAATTAGTTCCATATACTGTTTGCTGATGTTTGTAAGATAGATACAGTATTATTCACATTTATGATTAGCTGAAAGACAATACAGTACTCTCTCAGGAGTAGAATCAGGATTACATTTCAAGTGTATTGGTTTCAAATCCATCTTCTTTCCCTAAAGGAGATAGCTTTTCTTTTCACTAAACTGCTCCAAATAAGAGCTTATATGGTTCATTCCTACTTGTGATAACTAATTAAAATACTTTGGAAATTTATGTAATGCTGTATTTAGATGACACAGATAAAATAAGTATTAGTTGCTGGAAGATTAGAATACAAAGAAAATAAAAATCTTTGTCTTATTCATATTGGGTCATAACCTTTTTTGCTGATAGACTTGGTTGGGAGTGAAAAATTTTAAGTCTGTATCACACAAAACCTTCTGACTAAACTTTATTTGCATTTTGTTTAGTTTTTAAATGCTTGATAATTTTATAGGCACATAAAATATATAAAATATACATCCATGCCTTTAGACATAGCTGAATCTTAAAATTATGTTGAGTATCCTAAGAGATTCAGGCTTTTACCCACATATGAATCAATAATTTGTTATTCTGAGGACAAAATTCTGAAGACATTTCTGATTACTTTTCATTTTCATTTATGACTTTCATGGCATGAATATGTTCTGAGGAAAAGTCAAGTTCTGATCTATAGAGGAAATGGGTAGATTCTAATAGCAAATTAGTGTAAGGTGCTTCTATTAATCACTGTTACATTTAGATGTTCAAGAAAACCTAACCTTTAGTCAGTATGGTTGGCAGCTTAGAAATCTGTCTGTTGAGTTTGATTGCCGAACATGAAAATGAAATTTTATGAAATACAAATGAATTTAAAAATGCTGGTCACATTGATCCAAAGCTGTACTCAAATAGTTACCTTTTAAATCAGAAAGCTATATCATCAGTATAATAATTATCTTTGCCAAATATTCCAATCTTAAAAGGACATCATGTCTCTAGCTAATAAGTTATAGTTGCACATAGAACATGTGTGCAGTGAATGAAAGTTTCTATTGATTCACTGTAAAATAATTGATCATGATCAATTCAAATTTTCATGTTTTCCCCACATGGCTTTGAACAAGTCCCTTGGTCACGAGGTTATTTCCGGTTTAGGCTAAAGCATGAAATGTAATGAAGGCTTTACAGTATTTTACTGAGGACTCCTCCTGTACCTGTCCACATTAAGTGTGGACATAAATGAGCTTTTAAATACTATATAAGGAAGGCCATGGGTTAGGGCTCAAATAAGTGATATCAACGAATGATACAACTCATAACAGAAGTGGAGGCTAAGTGAGCAATCAAAAAAATTGATATTTCCAAAGAGATGGATTACAGCATTGTACGAGAGAATCTATAAGGTGATATGATTGCAATATGCAATGAGAAAATGATTTATTTTCACTTTGTTTCAGTTTATTTGGTTATTTTGATGAAAATATTTCAAAATTTTATTTTGGTACATATTTGCACAGCTTGTAAAAGAAGAAGCAGAGAGATCTGTACCTTCTTTCAGTTTACTTAAGAACAGTGCCCAGAGACAATTTACACACGCATGTTAATGAAGGTGTTTTTTGAGAGCACTATGGTGATTCTGATTTCCTACTAAAAGTACTTATTTGATTTAAACTTCATGAAATATTTCTTATATGCATTAGTTATCCACTAGCTATTAAAAGCTGAGTAGAAGTTTTCCTTTGTGTGGTTTCATCCATTACAATTTAGATTTAAGATGTCCCTCCAACCTCACCTGTGTTTTGGAGGTGGGGCTTAGGAAGGTGACTGGACCATTGATGAGACTGTGATTGGGTGGCATTATCAGGAAGTGATGGAAATTCAGGAGGTGGCCCCCATTGAATGGAGAGGGTCTGGGAAGCATGAGCTGGGGAACTATATCTTGTCCCAGCCCCCTCCCTTTGTGCTGTGTGGCTGCCATGAGTTAAGCAGCTTTACTCCAGTGCCACCACGATGATAAGGTCTAAATGGAACCAGATGATTATGGACTGAAACCTTTCAAACTGTGAGCCAAAATAAATCTTTCCATCTCTAAAGAGTCAGTTTTCTCAGGAATTTGGTCCACAGCATCAGAGCACTTACAGAGACACCATTTACTTCTTAAAACTTCTCTCTGTACAAAAATTCATTTATAGCAATTTTTGTACACTAGCATATCCTTTCATCTAGTTTTGATTTCCACACTCAGGGCTTTTTTGCTGAAAATTTTGCAGTTTATAATATTGTTTCTTTGTAAATGTATGACATTGCTCAATAAATTTTTAAGTTCCTTAGGTGAGGAACTCATGTCTTATTGTATATTCCTATTGTGTACAATAAGAGCTCCCAATGTATACTTTAGATTCTTCAAGAGCTTTATTTTATTTTATTTTACAATACAAACTATTTGCTTGAGAGTCAATCATCTAAAATTTGGAAATCATAAATAGAAAGCAATGTAAGGATTTGTGGTATCAGTGAAGGATAGATAATCATTGCTTCTTAATTTGAATCAATGGCATATTTCTATCTGATTGACAAGAAAATAAAACTAATATATAGATAATCAAGTTTTTGAGCATCTAACTATCCTAAATGTGGAACTCACTTTTCTTTTTTGCTAAACATATTTTCTTTATCTAAAGAATGTGTAAAGCCCGAGAGTACTGGGTGACTGTCGTCAACAATGTCAAATACTGGGTTTTTCCATAAAGTACCATTTAAACATTCAGTTTCTTACACTAACTGAGAAAGTCAGGTTTGAAATGACCCTTCGCCTCCCTGTTAGTATTCGTCACTCTGAAGGTTTCCCTGCTGATGTTAATGTCCTTCGGCTTTCTTCTCATTTTGGCCAGTGTGTATTTAAAGTGGGGTTTTTGAATGCTGTGTGTAGTTGGGTTATACTTTAAATCAAATCTCACAGTCTCACCTTCGTAATGGAAATGTTTAAACCATTTCATTTTATGTGATTATTGTTACAATTGGTATAAAAATATGATCCTGACTCTTTCTGACTGTCCACTGAGCTATTTCTTTTTTCTTATTGTCCTCTCATGGTTCTATTCAATGTACTTTAAGATTATACTTTAAAATGA